CAGCTTGAGAAAGAACCAAAGAGTCCTGCTAGCGCTGCATGTGACACGGCTTTGCGAATTATTCTCTTTCCTTTCGGATCGTGAACACTTTCAAAGACAGGCTTTGAACTGAGTCGAAGGCATTCCCGGGTGCGGGGTTATGACACAACAAAAAGTGGACATCGCGGGTCAGTCCGAACATCAAGTCGGGTCCGTGTCGCGCATGAGTCTGGTTCCTAAAACGGCGGTGGACGGTTCAACTGTTCTCCACTTCAACCGTCATCCTGGCAAACTGCACGTGTGTTTATTTTTGTCATTTCCAACTGCATAACCTCAAAGGTGACCGCGACACAGAGGGAAAGCCATTTTGACAACTTGGTGAGGTGTGGAAACCGCACCAACGGAGAGAGTGGCGGTATGACATGACATGACATCACCAAAACTTCCTGTCTTGGCTGGCCGTCTCTTCTTTTGAAAATATCGCTCGAGGGGGTAGGAAAAAACGCAGTCCACTGTAGAAACAAACACAAAGGCAGTACTTGACATGACTTGAGGACACGACGACGACAGGAACACAGAAACCAACAACAAAAAAAAGAAAATAAACAACAATGAACCAATACAAAGACAGAATGAAGAACGAAACCACGCAACTAAATAGTAGAAAACTGCTGAGTCGACAAAAAGTAGAAATTGGAGACGTTTGAAAGCGTTTGATAGCCTTACGTAAAACCAAGGTCTGCGTTACTGTCATCACGTTATCTCTTTTCCTACCCTGAGGATCAACAAGTATTCTTGGGCCATGACCGTGACAGTCAGGAAGGCTCCCACGCAGGGGCCAAACGCCGCCGCAGACCCAAATAAACGATTGCGTTCCCTCAAGTCGGAAATCCCTCGCTTAGGAAGGCCGCTCTGCGATGGCGGCCCGATCAAATGTGGATCGCAACGACCCGAGCACCTGCACGAAGCACCATTTAAGGATCCGGCGGATATTTGCAACGGGGGTAACATTGTCCGTCGAGCGATGCAAACACGTGTTTTGTATCCGCCGGGGAGACTTCGCACCGTCGCCGCAAGGACGGACGGGGCCTTTTCCAGCGCCACAGTTTCTCCTTGAGGAAGAAGATTGCGGTTTGTTTATTTTGACATCTCCACGGAAAAACATAACAACGATACAGATTAAAGGCGCACGCAGAGCGCTGGTAGGCAACATTTCAGGCTCGGCTCTTTCCAAACACGTCATCCCGTTCTAATGTCAGGGACACTCGATGCTCTTCAGATATTTACTCAAGCTCCTTTCGGTCCAAGTTTTTCATTAAATCTCATTTCCTCGTCGCCTTTAACCACGTTAAAAGCACGGAAAGAGCCGTCGAAGATAAAAGCAACTGTTCGGTCACTTCGCTGAGGGAAAATAAAGACTGAATGGAATTAGCCTTTTTGTTTTGTCCTGGGGAGTGACAAAACACCTTTTTTTTTTTTTTTTTTTTTTTAATGCTTGTTTCGCACCAGCTTCCTCCCACATTCCAAGAGCATGCATGAAGACTCCCAAAAAAATTTGGGGGGTATTTTTTATAAATCTTTCTTTATTTCACATGATCGATTAAACAACAGAATTTTCGTTCATGATATATTTCGGGATCACTAATTCATGATATTCATTCACATGAAAACACTGTTGTTGTTACAAGTCTCTTTTGGGCAGCATGCGGTGAGCGCATCTGCCAAGCAATCAGAGGTTGCAGCTTTGAACCTCAGTTTGCAATCAACTGGTGTTATCAATCAATACGGATATAATTATTACTATTTTTTTTTTTTTAACCCAAAATGAGCTGGAGGTAGGCTTTGGTTAACTCGCAACCCTAATGAGATATAGAAAACGGATGGATAGATTATCCGGCGTCGCCATGGCAATAACACAGACGCTCTCGTTCTTATTCCAAACCAGTGTTGCGCGAAATCGATTTTGAAGCGCCTATTTGAAGGTATAATTGCTGCAGAATGTATGGCTAACTTTTCAGCGCGTCACCTTCCAGTACGTTTGTTTGATGGCGGTGATGGCAAAGTTTGTACCGCGTTTTCGTCCTCCTCGACACAACACAATGGCCGACTGTGTGCATATCAACACGGAAGGCCTTCACGTTGGGCCCGAGTCTTTAGTTTGTGGTCATAACCCCGAAACAGCTCCCCTGCGTTCCCCTCAAGTGTCCTGCTTGTCGCAGCGTTGCCGGGCAACTCCATCAACACCGCCGTTAGTGCGAACCTGCTTTCTATCAACGCGGACTCGAGGGGAGGTACTGAACTAGATACTTAGGCCGGCGGGTATTTATCACTCTGTTGATGGGGTGTTTTAAAACAAGCATTTTTTTTTTTTTTTGGCAAAATAAACAAGCGTCTTGCGGTACATGTAAGGCAGAGTTTTCTCTTGGCTGATACTCAAGGAATGAGAACGACAGAAGAGTAACAGGCAGCATTTGTTGACGATGATACTTGATACTCGCGGCTCGAATGAGGACAAACGTGGCAGAAAATGGATGGAAGGTATTTTTTTTTTCTGTCTGAGCTATTCTTAGTGAAACAAAGCCTCAGAGCTAAGCAGATTATTTTTTTTTTGCGCGTGTGGTTTGTTTAGCATTTGATCATGATGCCAATTCTCATTGTTAAATCCCAAAACGCCTCAAAACCGGTAAATACGCTTTTACAGATTTTCAAAAAGGTTTGTTATGAGGACCTCAGACCCCCTTTCTAATCTCTTGAATCCACCAATGTGATGTTGACTTTCGGTGCCAATTGAAAATCACAGACGGGAACATAGAAACATTTCAAAATCTTATTTTTTTATGTCCTCTTTTTTTTTTGTGGCTTCATAAAGTTCTTCTGAGCGTGGCAGCAAAAACTTTTCAACCCAAATCACCCCAAGCAGTATGGATGGATGAAAATGATCGAATTTTTTTTTTTTTTTCGCTGTCATATTCATACTCCCGTATCTGAAGTTCGGCGAAGGGAGCGGCGTCAGTGGCCATGACGTTCCGTGACTGCGGCATCGCTAATGTCTGACAATGAGCCCCTTCCATTGAGCAGATGGTTGGAAGGTCTATTGAGGCGTCAGTTGCTCACTCATGCGCAAAACAGTTCCTGAAAGGTCCTCTCCCGCCCAAACGTCCGAACGTGGCCCTGACGGGGTCACCAGAGAGCTTCTTAGCTGCGTTGTTAATGTGACAGGACAATGGTGAGGTCATCACAAATGGTTTTCTTCGAGAGGAGGAGCACTCGGTTCAAAATGAGTGAGGGACTATATTAAAAGAAACATTCACAAGGTATCCCGGCGTATTGTTGATGAGCTGTTTTACATTGAGGCCCGGAGAAACCTAATATTTTCCAAAGAGAGTATGGAGGAGTCTTTGCATCGCGTGACCTAACAGGCTGTATGAGTGATTATGAGCCAGCTTTTGGGCATATAAACAAGACGAGGTATAAGAAAGAAGGCTCTCGGGATATTTATATATGCTGCGGAGGTATGCGGGGAATGTGTACGTGGCAGATGACCTTTCGATATCTCCAAATAAGGTCAGCTGACAACTGTTTATTGCCGCCTGAGCCCAGGTCACCACAGTTTGTGTTGGTTTATCCGAGGAATGTGTGCAGAGCTGTAAAAGGATTGCCGCTCTTTGAAATAAATTATTTTCATGCCGGACAAAAAAAAAAAAAAAAATGCTGGTGCTCTGGTTTCCTCCCATTTGAACCGGAATCAAAGACAATCTATGTTACAGATGAAAACAACTGTTGTTGAATGCAAACTCACAAGAGGTCAAATTAAATCGAACCAGCAGCCCGGCTGAGGGCGGCAATTACATGAGATGGTTCGGAACGCCATCATGTCTATTTCCCGCTCTTCCTGCTGTGCTCCGGAATGTAAATGACATTGTCCCTAGAAGCCCATAAACAGAAGCTGGTGCTCCATGACCTGATAAATAATGCGAATGATGGCTGAAGAGAACATTCCGAGACACTTTGAGATATTTCGAAGTCGCCGAGTCACTGACCCAGTTGCATTGAATGCCTCATGTGAAGAGCACATTCCGATGAGTTGTTTCAGAGAAATATCGCAAACACCGCGAGAGACATGGAGGTTGTCACCGGACGTGTTATTGTGTCTGCGCGGTCTGGATTGTATCAGCAAAACATTTTGCTTGGAAAAAAAAAAAGTTATTGGGTAGGATTTGTGTAACTGCTGCATGAAGATGTAGCTCACGCCTCAAAGACTTGGCTTTCAGGCTAAAAGGTCACCATTTTGAGACCCATTCGGAGAGCAGTCTTCACGCATACCTTGTGCTGCCATAATCTTCTCTGATGTTATATTTGTCGTATGAATGGATTACTCTATATGCCTTTTACAGTCCTTCAAGCTGCCAACAGGCTGTGAAAATCACTACTTGAGATGCCAGTGCTGAGTCAGTTTGTCCCCCGGACCCCATCCACGTTCGATTGCCTCAGGCTACTGTGTTATGTCGACTCCTAGTGGCCAAAAAGGGAACCGCATGCATTGCGTTCCCGTCCAGCTGACTCGCTCGCTCACTCCACCTGCTTGTGATCAGTCTTTTACAAACGACTTTGCAAAACAAAACACACTCGCTTTATGGAACTTAATGAGACAGAACTAACGTTAATTCTGGATCAGGTGCTCATTTTTATCTCAATTTCAGAGTACAACTGAAATTCCACAGAGTGTTTATTCACTGAATGCAGAATGAAGTGACTGCTTTGATGTTGTGGCAATGAAGCGCAGACGGACACAATCCTGCCACACATGGAGATTACACTTAATTAGCATTTTTGGTTATGGGAATGTGTCATGAAGAGAGGACCCATTGAGCCTCAGAGGCAATACTTCACACACCAATTTTCTCTCTCTCTCTCTCCCTCCTCTCTACATGATAAACTCGACCCTTCTCTCCTCACCCCTGATTGGACGAGGCCACTTGTTGGGAATGGCATTAAACTATTTAAATAGCATTTTGTCCCCCCTCAGCTTATAAGGGACTTTTTTTTTATTGTGGCTGATCTCATCTATAGGGCACATTTCTCCCCCAAAACATATCTACATGTTTTTGAGGTCCGGCGGAGCTTTTGTTATATTTTTCCCAAATTTGATCCATATCAATTCCTGAGGATTATTGCTGGATTTCTATGATTTTTGTGCATTCCCCCCCAATTTGTAATCGACTCTTTTGGTTTTTTGTTAACAGGTGAGTGACACCAGATTAGCTCGAATTATTTTTACATTAAAGCATTTACATACGTGTTTCATTTTTCCCCACATGCAGTTAAGTTATCTCATCATGAAGCTGACGGGGATATTTTTGTTACTGATGCTTTGGACCTGTGAGGGTGCCAGAATAGCAGGTGATCCAATTGAACTCGCAGATTTTCTATGTCCAAGTGGACGATTTATGAAGAGTTTGAAACTAAAATGAATAATAAATAAGTCAAAAGTATTGAGTGCAAATTTTGACCACACACACACACATCCACAGAGAGCGGAGAGGACAACAGCGTGTACGACTTGTTCGAGCTGGTGCAAGTCCCCAAGAAGAACCACGGAGTGAATCAGGTGAAAGGAGACGACCCGTACAGCCCCGCCTACAAGATCCTCAACCCGGACCTGATCCCCCCGGTCCCCGAGCGGGCCCTGCGGGACCTGATCGACTCCATCCACGCCGAGAGGGGCTTCCTCCTGTTGCTCAACTTCAAGCAAGCCAAGCGCACGCGGGGCAGCCTCCTGACCGTCGAAAAGAAGGACGGCTCCGGTCCGATATTTGAGATCGTGTCCAATGGCAAAGCCAACACGTTGGACATTGTTTTCTCCACCGAGAAGAAGCAGCATTTGGTCTCCATCGAAGATGCGGATCTCGCGACGGGCCACTGGAAGAACATCACGCTGTTCGTGCAGGAGGACCGGGCGCAGCTGTATGCCGGATGCGACGAGGTCAACAACGCCGAGCTGGACGCGCCGATCCAGAGCATCCTGACCCAGGAGACGCCTGACGGCGCGCGGCTCAGGATCGGGAAAGGAGCCGTGAAGGACAAGTTCATGGTGAGTATACGAGCCACTAAATGGGATCCGAAATGACGCGCGTGCGCTGCATTTGAGCTGTCGTATCCGTGCGCAAAAGCGCTGCAAATGCGCAATATACGCACACGAACAACCGCAAGAATTTAACTTTGTGTGACAATGCAATATACTGTAAAGCGCACAGTTCAGATAAACATCGCCTACAATGCAGGCAGGCAACATTTTATGGCTTAAATTGCGCGCTCGTGTTTTGCAGGGGGTCCTTCAAAACGTCCGCTTTGTTTTTGGAACAAGCTTGGACGCCATCCTCCGCAACAAAGGATGTCAAAGCTGTGAGTCATTTTATCACGTGTGTGTTTACCCTTCCACTCGTCCCGTCTGTTTCATGTCAATACTCATCGCTAACACTTGCCCGAATACAATATTTGGCCGCATAAAATGTATTCCACGGGGTGTCTTAGCTGTGCAATGAAAAAAAAACCACACACACACTTGAGTGGTGTGAGCAGTTATTTCACGTGATCTGTTGTTTTATTCGACCTTGCAGCGCCAGATTCGATGATGATGGAGAATCTTAATGGCTCGTCCGCCATCAGGACAGAGTACACTGGCCATAAAACTAAAGGTAAAGAATCTTTAGTAAATGTGATATTACGGCTGCCTCAGTCTACACTATAAGCCAAAGGAAATAAAACTTTTTTTTTTTTTTTTTTTTTTTTGCTGCTGCGGTGAAGATCTGCAGATGGTCTGCGGTTTCTCCTGTGAGGACCTCATCAGCATGTTCAAGGAGCTCAAATGGCTTGGCGTGGTGGTCAAGGAGCTGTCCGTTGAGCTACGTAAACTGGTAAGCTGTCTGCACTGCCTCTGGGTATGTGTGTGCATGCGTGAGTGCACATAAACGAACAATTTATTCAAGTTCCAGTCATGTTTCCCTCGCAGACAAATGAAAACAAGCTGATTAAGACGCGCATCGGCATCCACAGCGGCGTCTGCATCCACAACGGCATCGTGCACAAGAACAGAGACGAGTGGACCGTCGATGACTGCACCGAGTGCACTTGTCAGGTGTGCATATCAAGTACTTGAACTCGCACTTTTCACACGGTTCTTAGAATGCTTTGTGGGTGCACAAAACCCAGATGGACACACTGGTACATGAAGCAATGAGTACCCATGTTTACGCACAAACAATTACAAGCTGATGTGGTAAAGAGGCCTGTCGTCGGGAGGTTAATTCAAAACGACGCCCTGCTTGGAATGAACATCTTATCACTAGCATTCCCTCAGGAGAAAAAGCCGTCTTTGGCTTGCACGATTCGGCTTCAATTGCAGATTGAGTCATGTTGGCCTTCATTCCTGAAAGTTATCAAATCCATCAGGAGTGATTAGCATTGATTTAAAAAAAAAAAAAAAAAAAAAGGCAGCGGTTTCTCTTCAGTCATTCACTGGGTCATCTACAAACTGTCTGACTTTCCATATCTCGGGCACAGTCTCAAAGTCGAGGTCATCCGTCTGAGACCAGCTTCCTTTTACGAGGGATTTGGCCACATTCCCACCTTTTACTGACCGAGTCGGCAGACGGGTGCCAGCAGCGGTCTACATTTGCAGACAGGCACCTGGATTTTATTCTTCCATGTCAGGCTTGGCAAATTATTCCACGCACAGAAGATTTTGTTGCACGGAAATGGATCAAAATCACCCCGAGTTATGCAACGAGACGCGGTTCGGTCAACCGAAATTTCGATCACGGCCCCTTTTATCTGCATTTGAGAAAGTCTTTAAGAGACAAGACATAACCGACAACCGTGATTATTGCAGAACTCTGCAACAGTGTGTCGCAAGATCTCCTGTCCCCTGATTCCCTGTGCCAACGCAACTGTACCGGACGGAGAGTGTTGCCCACGCTGTGGAACACGTAAGCATTTGACTTCACTTCATTTCATTGAAATCCACACAGAAGATTTTTATTTATGTATTTATTTATTTGGTAAATCCAAACAGACTGCATGTCCGACTTGAGGGGCTCCAATGCACACCGCAATTACAGCCGTACAAATGTGCCATGCAGAACTGTAAATGCTGCGTCAGATAGAGTGTGGAAGGAGCATTCGCCGAGACACTGCCTCAGTCATCCCCTCAAGAGATTCTGTGTAATTTCCCGTATAAAAGCCACAAATATTTCCTGACATGTAAAGGTTTCTGTTCAAGAGAAAGCATGTTCATTTTGGAGATGACTTAACTGCACTCGTGTTGGAAGAAATGAAACGGGTACTTATGTGCTTGGAACATTGGCGCTTTGTGTTCAAAAAACATCTTTGAATTCTTAAAGCTGAGATGGCTGCAATTTGCCAAATTGGTCAAAGTGGGCAAGAAAATTGTGTGGTAAAGGCCTCATCTACATGAAGACGAGTGACATGTTAGTCATACCTGCGCAGTCTTGGCTGTAAGCCTTTCCGCAAAACAAAATAAATAGCAGGGGCCGCGTTCAGATGGACCTCGGCCACTCGTTGAAGTCATGACACACCATCAGCCGCGGGGGCCGAAAAATATCCTCTTTAGGAAAACCTAAGTCAACGGGCATCCCGATGTACTGTCTCTTTAGGACAGTGGGCCCTCCTGTTCTCAGGCTTTGCCCGTCCTCAACAGAAGGCTCAAAATCCAGGCGAAATCCACACTGGATAGCTTTCTGCTCATTTAGGCTCGAGGGTGTTGTGTGTATGTGGCGGTTATGGGTTGGGGGGAGTGGGGGCTACATTCTCCAATAGCCGATTCATTGTGTCTCTCTCACCATATTCTTGCCATCGCCCTCCTCCTCAGCGAGCGACTACGCAGAGGACGGCTGGTCTCCGTGGTCTGAATGGACCCATTGTTCCGTGTCATGTGGGCGGGGCATCCAGCAGCGCGGACGCTCTTGCGACCGTATCAATAACAACTGCGAGGGCACCTCCGTGCAGACGCGGGACTGCTACCTCCAAGAGTGTGACAAGCGCTGTAAGTCACCCACAATGAACAACCCCTCGTTGTAATCTCCGAAAATAAAACGCGGAGCAGGTGTCGCTGACTATTTTTGAATGCTCAGTCAAGCAGGATGGCAGCTGGAGCCATTGGTCGCCGTGGTCCTCATGCTCCGTTACCTGCGGGGCAGGCGTCATCACTCGAATCCGTCTCTGCAATTCCCCAACCCCCCAGCTCGGAGGCAAGGACTGTGTGGGAGAAGGTCGCCAAACAGAAAAGTGTCAAAAGTCTCCATGCCCCAGTAAGTTTCGGGTCCACTCACTTTAGCCCACTTAGATAACAACAAAAGCTTATTATCATCCTGCAACCTGTCCTCAGTCAATGGCAACTGGGGTCCCTGGTCACCGTGGGATACGTGCACCGTTACGTGTGGAGGCGGCGTGCAAACTCGTAAACGCCTGTGCAATGACCCTGCGCCAAATTTTAATGGGAAAGATTGTGTTGGAGACGGCAAAGAAACGCAAACATGCAACAAGAAAACGTGTCCTATTGGTGAGGAACCGATTCTCCGGGCGGAAGCATACCTGGTTAGACCTGAAATGATACTTGAGACCTTGAACAACATGACTGTTTTCAGACGGGTGCCTATCAAACCCTTGTTTCGCTGGGGTCAAGTGCACGAGTTTTCCTGATGGTTCCTGGAAGTGTGGAAAATGCCCTCTTGGTTATACCGGCAATGGTGTCAAATGCAAAGACCTCGACGAGGTAAAAATTCCACCAAATATTTCTGAGCTAAGCGCGTCGGCTGGCGGGAACATCTGAAACCACCTCGAGAAAGCGACTGTTGAATGATTGGAATTCTTCTCCATCTTCACCTGGAAACAGTGCAAGGAGGTCCCCGATGCTTGCTTCGAGTTTAACGGCGTACACCGCTGCGAGAACACGGAGCCCGGGTACAACTGTCTCCCCTGTCCGCCTCGTTACTCTGGACCTCAACCGTTTGGGAAAGGTGTGGAGCAGGCTGCTGCTACTAAACAGGTCTGCACGTCACAGCCTTTGAAAACAAGAACAGAGTCCAGCAGGCCAGAAACATATGGATTGAGATTGCGCAACTTGATTCTTCCCTTTCTAAGGTGTGCTCGCCCCGAAATCCGTGCCTGGATGGAAGCCACAACTGCAATAAACACGCGCGCTGTAACTACCTCGGCCATTTCTCGGAACCCATGTTCCGATGCGAGTGCAAGCCGGGCTACGCTGGCAACGGACACATCTGCGGAGAGGACACCGATCTGGATGGTTGGCCCAATGCTGACTTGGTTTGTGTGGAGAATGCCACCTACCACTGCAAAAAGGTAGGTGGCAGAAGTTACCAAAGCATGAGGTCAACATTGTTTTTTTGGGGGGTTTTTTTGCATAACATTGAGATGATCCGGTGTTCTTTTAATCCAGGACAACTGCCCCAACCTCCCCAACTCCGGCCAAGAAGATTATGACAACGACGGCATTGGAGACGCTTGTGACATTGACGATGACAACGACGGCATTCCTGATGACAGGGTGAGTAGAGCAGGCGAGGGTGCATGAGCAACTGACTGAGATTTTTATGATACCTCATGCATGTGCAATATGAAGCGAGGCGGATAGGAGGCGGGGCTCAGGGGGGGCGGAAAGCAAATGTTTTCCCTGGCCAAAAACACAAATTCTATCACTGAGGTACAAGTCTGAAGGGACTCAACTGTGCACAAATTCCAACGCTTGAAGTGGGATCTGACCTAAATAGAAAGCACCTTTTCATTCCACGGACCTCCTTCGTTCTAAATAGATCCACTCAGTCAGTCTGAAGGCAGATGGTGAGGACCTGCACCTGAACATATACCTTGTAAACTCTACCCCCCCCCCCCGCCCCTCCCCATCTCTTGATACAGGACAACTGTCCGTTCACCTTCAACTCCAGGCAGTATGACTACGACCGTGATGACGTGGGCGATCGCTGTGACAACTGCCCTTATAATAGCAACCCTGACCAAACAGACACGGACAACAACGGGGAGGGAGATGCCTGCGCCGTGGACATAGATGGCGATGGTAAGGACGGCGACTCCGAGCAGGACTCCTGGGAGAGCAGTTTGCTCGTCGGTAATGAAGTGACATTTTTTTTTTTTTAACTTCAAGGATGTTTTCTGTTCATTTTCCAGGCATACTGAATGAAAAGGACAACTGTCCCTATGTGTACAATGTGGACCAGAGAGACACCGATTTGGATGGGGTGGGCGACATGTGCGATAACTGCCCTCTGGAACATAATCCTGATCAGGTGTGTGCACGCTCCTCCCTCCTCATTTCTTTCCAGCTCATCCGCCGGCAACGATAGGCAAGCGTCTCTCCTGCGTCGTCGCTCAACGTGTGAGAGACAGCCACGCAGACAAACGGAGAAAGAACGAGAGTGAAAGTCAGAGAAAGAGTGCCAGATTCAGTCATGATCCTCTGTCAGCCTGAGCTTTACACGCTGGACTAAATCCGATGTAGATCTCAAGGGCACATCAGTTTAAAAAGGCGTGGTGGGGGGGTGAGGGGTCTTTTCAATGGGCCATTGATGTAGAACTTGACAAAAAAAGAGGCCCTCAGCGGGAAATTACTGAAGAATGGGCTGCACCGCGGGACAGCTCAATGCACCTGTGTCATGCTACGCTGGGAAGGAGGAATGCGATGGACGAGGGTGCTTGAAATTGACAATTTTATGAATTTTCAAGTCAGGTCTAGACAGATACGATACTGGCCCAAAAAAAGGCATCATTTCCAAAATGATTCGACACAATCGCTTGTCACTTCTGATTGCTAACTGTAGCGTTTGCCATCGCAGGTGGATTCAGATGACGACCGTGTGGGAGACAAGTGTGACAGCAACCAGGACATTGATGAGGACGGACACCAGAACAACCTGGACAACTGCCCGTACATCCCCAACGCCAATCAGGCCGATCACGACAAGGACGGCAAGGGAGATGCGTGTGACCACGATGACGATAATGACGGCATCCCCGACGACAAGGACAATTGCAGACTGGCACATAATCCTGACCAGGTTGACTCCGATGGTGAGGGAAGATTGGGAAAGGGATGAAATTGAATCCGCACACTACCACCAAATATTTATTTCTCAAGTAATGTCCACCTAATCATCAACTCACCGACACGTTTTATTTTGCAGGCGACGGCCGTGGAGATGCATGCAAAGATGACTTTGACCAAGACAACGTGCCTGACATCTACGACGTGTGTCCGGAGAACTTTGACATTAGCGAGACAGACTTCCGCAAATTTCAGATGGTTCCTCTCGACCCGAAGGGCACTTCCCAGATTGATCCAAATTGGGTGGTGCGTCACCAGGGTAAAGAGCTCGTCCAAACCGTCAACTGTGACCCTGGAATTGCCGTTGGTAAGTGAAACGTGACTAAAACTGGTCCGGTTTTCAGTAGAACGTAGACCACCACCAAAGCTGTGCAATGGTCGAGTCCTTTCATTTTTCAAAGAGAGTCACGTTAGCTCCCTGTTGGGGGAAATAGATAGTGGAAGAGAAAGTTCTGTGTTCTATAACTTGCATCTATCATCTGTAGGATATCATGAGTTCAATGCGGTGGACTTCAGTGGGACCTTCTTCATCAACACCGAGAGGGATGACGACTACGCCGGCTTTGTGTTTGGTTATCAGTCCAGCTCCAGGTTCTACGTGGTGATGTGGAAGCAGATCACTCAGACCTATTGGTCCAATAAACCTACCAAAGCCCAGGGCTATTCTGGCTTGTCAATCAAAGTGGTCAATTCCACCACCGGCCCGGGAGAGCACCTCAGGAATGCCCTGTGGCATACCGGCAATACCGCAGGACAGGTACCGCATGACCTTCTTTGTGCTCATCCTCATATCTGCTGACTTCTTTGTGAGGAATACCATGATATGAAAAGATCATGATGGTTATTTGCGTCTGCTTTAGGTCCGCACTCTCTGGCATGACCCCAAGAACGTCGGATGGAAAGATTACACGGCCTACAGATGGCATCTGATCCACAGACCGAGAACGGGGCTTATCAGGTGGGCAGATGAAAAGATAACGGTCAGGTGTATTGTCCAATGGATTTGATCGTTGCTCACCAACTCTTCCTTCACCCGCTCAGGGTTGTGATGTACGAAGGAAAGAAGATCATGGCAGATTCCGGCAGCATCTATGACAAGACGTATGCCGGGGGAAGGTTAGGTCTTTTTGTCTTCTCCCAGGAGATGGTTTACTTCTCAGACCTCAAGTATGAGTGCCGAGGTAAGAACTGATGTCTCATACTATTTAGTGGAACCTCCGAGGTTGAAAGCGATCGGTTCTGGGACGCCGATCTAACTCGGATTTGTTCAAAACGACAATCGATTTTTTTTTCTTTTTTTTAGATTCTTAATTGTGTGCGTATACGTGTTAAAAAAATGTCTCTCTGAAAACATATAAACAGGGGGATTAAGAATTGCGGTTGGGAGGTGAGCCACTTATAGATAATTTTCGGATGTACATTCTCGATTTATACCTTTTCAACTTCAGGGGTTCTACTCTCAGTGCAAAAATTGATGTTCTGATGTTCTCAACCTAAAAGGAGCCATTACTAATGTTGATGTTTCTTTTCTCAGATACATAAACGCACGGCGCTGGATGTTCTGAGGAATGCACCTTTTAGTCGTACGAACATTTCTTTTACTCTCTCGTAAAGTCCGAGGACCGATTTATCTCCACAACGCTTTCTTGTGCAATGCGTGCACTCGTCGAGGGCGAGGGGCATGCGGGCAGCCTTCGTGTAACGTGACGCCGGTTTTGGGCCAAAAAAACTAAATGGCTGAGT